CACCTTAAATAAACAGACTCCTATATAACAACAAATGTTCACTAATCTTACTTACCAATATACTTCTGTCTATATTCTACCATGTCCTTCAGTTTGTATCTGTGACTCACATACACTGTCGATCTTCTATCCCAAAACTCATTCCAGTCTTCAGTCATTCCCTCTGTCCATTCTGTAGGGATCAGGTGAAAATAAGTCTCTCTGTGAAATACCGCATAGCTTTAATACTAACGTTGCTTCAGCTGTTGTCACAGAAATGATGCCAATCTCACAAGCGGTTGTCTCGCCAACAGAAGCTCTGATTTGGTGGAAAAAAGGATGAAAAAAGAAGACTCTGGAGAGAAAATAGAATGAAGACTCCAGATTTAAGTGTTGTCAGGGACGGCTGACATTGGGAGAGAGAACGAGAATGAGAACACTGAAGTGTCAGGGAAGGTTGAAATTGAGAGCGAGGCGAAGAATGAAAACAGTGAACTGTCTCCCCTGTGTCTAAAGGGTTGTCACAGATCGAGTGCTTCACTGCGTTTTAAGCCACTTTCTTATAAGCCTGATATAAAGATGGTCATTCACTCTTGTGTTTTCATTACATTCCAGATTTATGAGGTCACCCTGCTGGCAAGCTGTAAATCTAAAGCAAATAAGTTTGTACTCTGCAAACTGGGTGCTGAAATGCCACCTCACAGCATGCAGACGTATCCTTGATAAAAATATCTGGGTTCTCTGCGGTCTGCCGGATAAGCTTTCGACCATGAAATACCTAAACATCAAATATGTGTGGCGGCCTGGGAAAACCCTTCATATGGTCAAATGGCATTTTCTGCTATATATACTTCTGCAAAGTACAGATTTCCCTGAAATGAAATGTGTCTGCTTTGTAATGTATCTCAATCACAAGTACAGTTATAGGTACATTTTAAAGAATTCTTACAGCATCATCCACATCAGTCTCATCACCTGAGGTAAAAGTCACTTGTGGCATTTAAACAGAAACTTTGTTGTGTCTTCACTCATGGGAACATAATCGTTGATTAGTCTGTTTTGATGATGGGCTGGAGGTGCAGGAGCATTGCAGACATTTTGATAGCACTTTGAGATTATCAGACAGCCAAGGCAAGATTAAAGTAAGTAAATATAAAAACATAAAAACATTTCCATTTCACTTTTGTAAAATATATTTTATGTTGTAAAGTAATAAAAAAAACAAATATTTTTGTTTGTATTTTTGGCTGTTTTCCAGAATTCAGCCACACCTGATTGGTTTTCCCAGACTGGCACACATTTCCAATTTTTTTTCAATAATTCCAGAAAAAAGCAAGTAGAGACTGCTCTTCACAGGAAGTCACTTCTGTTGCATTACTAGCAGGAACCATCAGGTCCTGCAGCCAAGGTCCGGGGATGTTTGCGTGCTGATATATGAACAAAAGATGCTTGATTTCAGACACCTAAGAAAGATCTGCTCTCAGCCTCAGATCCTCCATGCATGGGCTAGAAAGTGCCTAATTTTTTTTTTCTTTTACACTTTTCTAGTCCCAAGCTTCGGCATCTTTACATATGTTTACATACTTCTGTGCACTGCAAGAGCTTTCCAAAGCAAAATATAGTCAATGGACTGAAAAAATAAATCCACAGAATGCCAGTTAGCTTGCTCTTTCTGAAAAAGTAGGTGGCTTTTGGCCATATTTATTGATGAAATACACCAGACTCCATAGCAAATACTAGAAGTCTGGCTTATAAGACTAGGGAAGGTCAGGAGGAGAGTGTGTTCAGTGCTGATTAGGGATCTCGAAGCATGACCTGCTCAATCGGAACCAAATGCTCTTCTTAATTATCTGCTTTGCTCTTTCACTCTTCTCTAGGGTTCTTCATAAGGTCCAGTTTATTGTTAGTGAAATGTTGCGATTAAGATCACAGACTTTTGTGTGGGAAATATTATGGCAAATTCAACTTTGAATGAGAAATATTGAGTGTATATATTATTACTTTAAGCTCAGACCATACATTATTCCATAAAAGAGGCACATTCGATGCAGTCATTTGGGAGGCTTGTTTAGATGGTATAATATTTTATAACATTAACTTTTGTGTATTTTTACTGTTTATGGTTGGCAAGTTAGTTTGCTTGCTAGCAATCAACTCGGACAGGTTCCCAATCAAGGTAATTACCTACAAGCTCCTAATGTTCAAAACTTTCAACATACTATGTAGGATTTGGACTTCTGCTTCTTTTCTCCAAAGATTCTTCATCTCACCTCAATATTGCTAGCCACAGCTAAGATGTTACGCTATTAATTTCATTCGAGATCTTGGCCTCATTTGCGTTGTGCATGGTGGTTGCAGTGCAGCAAAATCGGCCTCAATGTGTGATCTCAGCTTTCTCAACAGTTTAACAGTCATAATCAAATCTATTGCATCACTATATCCACAAAAATGTATGATTTATAGACCTGTACCATCCTTTTGTAAAATTTTACACAATGAAATCGAGGTTTTGGTAGCCATGGAGGACCACTGGAGAAGTTGTCCAAGTTCCGTTAGGGTGGATAACCAGGGGATCGAATGATGTGAGGAATAGGCCAGATTGATCAAAATATGTAGGTGGAAAACATACATTTTGTCCTGGGCCCAGACATTCATGGTGGGCCTGTTGGTAGTGAATATAACTGTGTTTACAAAGTGAATGTAGCTTGTGAGGAAAAATGCTATACAGTCTGTCATCAGTATCCAATGTTACCCAGCTTATTAGTGACATGAAATGAATGCTAACTATGTTATTAACTTAGTCAATAAACTGTTTTTTATCCATTGTTTGTCTGCATCATTTGTTATTAAGGAACATGCTTTATGGTGGTGTAAATATTCAGATATAAAAATCCAACTAATATAGTATTGAGGAGCAGAAATATGATATGCAAATATGTGTATCTAAATATCCTCGTTTTAAAAAATAATCGCAAATAGTGACACTGTTGGGGGAAAAGCGGACTTTATTCCAAAGATGACAAGTTTAACTGTCATCTTACATATTGCAATTAAAGCATGCTAATAGTATTCAATGGCTTCTTCTCCAAGTATTGGACCCTAATTATTTGAGAGTATGTCTGTAAAATCATATAATATGTACATTAATTCAAGTTTTATCTCTATTCAAGTTCAAGTTCAAGTGGAGTTTATTGTCATTTCAGCCATATACAAGTACATAGTGAAACGAAACAACATTTCTCCAGGACCAAGGTGCTACACAAGACAAACACAGAACAACACAGAACTACAGGGACTACATAATTTAGTGCAAACATGTGCAGACAGCACAAGGCAGAACAAGACAGTACAATGACTACAACGCCGACCAGTATGCAGTTCTGTTTTAAAGTGACCTAGTGACAATAGTGCAAATATTACAAGAGTAAGTAGCTGAAATAGTGTAAACAGTATTTGTAGCAGCATAAACATGTGCAAAACCTTGCAGAGACTTTATGAAACTTTATGACTAAATGAAAATTAACACCAGAATATTCGAGTATTGTGTGTAAGGCACTGTACAATGATACTGATTCTACAGTCACTGTTTTTACAAATAATTGTTATAAAATTATTCTTTGTAAATTCTGTTAAAAAAAAAAGTTGTTGCCTACTAAAACTCTCACTTTCTGAAACCCGTACTGTTGTAGTACAGTGGCAAACTAGCTGATTTTCTCTCTAATAATCTCTGAAGTCCTGAATAATACCAGGATAAATATAATTTTTAGCAAGTCTAATGTCGACATCTCAGTTTATGGCTGCTACTATTTTAAGCCGATACTAGCTTAAACATCAAATGCTCTTTTGCTAGCAGAGCAAATTAGCCATACACATGCTAGCTATACATGCTATTCTCTCTCAGTCTCTGAAGTCCAGAATAAAACCATGTTGAATGTCATTTGTAGTAAGTCAAGTGCCTACAGCTCGATTTATGTTTTCCACATTCAACAGATTTGCAAATCTATTTTAAGCTGCTATAGCTTTAACATCACATGCTCTTTCGCTAGAAAAGCAAATTAGCTGTATTCTCCATGCTAGTTAGCTAACAAATCGCGGCCAGTGTGAGGGAAAAAATGACAGGTAAATTTTACCAGACGGTATATCTTTTTTTTTTTAATACAATGTAAGAGAACATTTCTGCAACCAGACAAATGTTAAAACCACTGTAAAAGTTAAAAACCAGTGACAAACAGACAGCAGCCTTAATTCACCTAGTTATTTTCCTCATTCTTCTCCTGTCCCGTTCTCACACATACACATGAGTTCTGTTATGCCTATTGTGATCCTATTGTGGCTTGACATTTATGACAGCACTGAGATGCTGAAAACAGCTTTGCCAGTAAGTTTCCATAGCAACTGACCATTTACTATTTAAAAAAACACACTTCACTCACTAAACGAAAACTAGGAGTGTCTGTCAGTCTCACAGCTTCAGGCGTTTATACAGCTGTCACATACACGTTAGAGACCATTAAAAATATACACGTGTCATTTCCCTTTGTGAGTAATCTGACCGTGTAATGCTTTAATGCTTTTTGTTAACTGCCTTAGGTTAAAGTGGAAATATTGTAAATGGAGGTGACTTGATGACAAGCTTTAGACTGTCGCATAGTGACTGATTTGTAAGGAATAAAACACTTGCTGTTACCGAAAAATGATCCATGATTTTTTTTTCATCAGCGTACCCTGAAGTGTTTTATTTCTCTTATACTGCAATTTGCCATTTGATTAATGAATGGCACAGCATGCTTTTTAACCATCTATAGTTCCTGTTATCACTTATGTTATAAGTTAATAAGTTGTTGTTCCTCTTTCGGCTGCTCCCATTAGGGCTCACCACAGTGGATCATTGGTCCGCATATTTGATTTGGCACAGTTTTTACACTGGATGCCTTTCCTGATGCAACTCTCCCCACTTTTATCCGGGCTTGGGACCGGCACTGGAAGTGCACTGTCTTGTGCAACCCCGGTGGCTGGGTTGCTTCCCTGGCCAGGAATCAAACCCTGGCCATGATGGTTAGAGCATCATGGCCTAACCATTAGACTTCCAGGGACCCTTATAAGTTAATAAGTTTAGAAGGCAAAAAAAATAAAAAATCAAGAATGCGCCTCTGTAGGCGCATTCTGTCCTGAAGACTTAGCATGGTGGAAAAAAGCGCTGACACTGGAGACTCCTTCCATAAATGTTAAATAAAAAAAGCTTCACCACAGAAATAATTACTAATTTTTCTTTGTTAAGTAACAACGCTATTTTATCCCTTAATAATTAGTCTTTGCTGTTACAATAGAACTGATAACATACTCGAACGAGCGCATTAATATAAACCTTACACAAAATTAATCAACACTTTCTGACCAATCCGATTCAATAATTCAACAGGGCTGTGGTATTAAAGTAAGTACATACTCTCTTGCAGTGGATAACCTGCTCATTTGAAATTATTGATATGAAATGATTAATATGCTTTGTTATATTCGCACAAGACCAGGATTAAAATATTTGCTCTGAAAACTTCTTTTCCCAGAACCTTTTGCATGATAATGCCAGATCAATATGGAGAGCTCAGTGCAAGATGCTCAGACAAACAGATCCTCGTTTGACATTGTGTGAGGATGTGATGTAATACAGTATTTGCCACAAGGCTAAACATCGATTAAGTGCTGTATGGATCTTGAGAACCTTTTAGAGTAATTACAGTGATGGAGCTAATACACGTTCTGGTGAACAAGACGTATCAGTGTCTCTTAATACACATTAAAAGTCTGGCATAATACACAGACACATGCTCACATACACATTCACAGAAACACACCCTGCAAAGTCTAAGGGAAAGGAAGTGAAGGGGGCGTGGAGCAGCGTGTGAATAAAACTAATCTTTGAAGGCTGCAGATGGCACACATTATAGCGACAAGAGACTGACAGCCATGTGACTGCAGGCACTTCCTGTGACCTGTGACCCCTGACCTGTGAGGCAGCACAAATGACTTGTTGCCTTGAGTGTGACTGCAAGAAGTGTAGGCTTTCTTCTATGATCCTTTTAGCTTTTGCACAACCCACTATCTCAGTATTAAGGATGCCTAATACAGCTAAAAATTATTTGTCAAAGCAGCTCATTTAGTTAATACGATATTCTTCTGCTTTATTGTGTGATGATTCAATGATGATGAAAGCTCTAACTGGTGTTTTAAATAAATGTATATGTGAGCAAAAATAATACTGTCTAGTATTAAACAGATTAAAAGACGTTGGTATTTAAGAAAGAAAATATATATTTATTGATGTAGTAAAGTTCCATAAGGAGATGTTTATTTAACATTTATGTAAGGAGTCTCCATTCTAATTAACTTCAAAAGAGAAATAAGAGTGGCTGGTGAGGGAACGATTCTTTATAGCTGCTATAACATATGTGATAACAGGAAGTAACATGTTTCACCTGATGTTCCACAACATAAAATGTAACTATAAATGATACAGGTACACAAAAAATTACAGATGTACAAAATTAATATGAAAAAGTATATTTAAAAAAATATTTTTTAAAAGTTTGCAAAGTCAGGCCAACTGCTGTTTCTATAAGATAAAATAAAATACAGAAATACATAATTGTGATATCAGTATTGTATATATTGCTCTTTTTAAAACAGAAATTAAACTTTAAACATTTTTTCTCTGGAACTAAGTAGCTTGTGTGTGTGTGCGTGTGTTTCTGTGTGTGTGTTAGGTGTCATCAAGTATTGGACAGCTGGTATTAGTTCTCATGCTGGTTGGGAGATAAGAGTGCATTTACAAGCAGAAGTGTGTTTACTGGTTATTCTGCCACATTACGTTCCCACGTCTATCTTAGGTAGCGCCAGGCCGGATCTACAGCCTGCACTATCACACACCTGCCCACTGTACACACACCCATGGGGCCTGTGGGACGCTTTTAACCTTGACGACTGGCGAGAGCATACTCAGTGATTAAACACAGACAGTTTTTCTGCCCTTGCTTTGTCTCTCTCTCTCTCGCTCTCTCTCTCCCTCTGTGTGTGTGGTATGTGTACACAGTGGTGTCCGATTGATTCCTCTTCTTTTCTTTTGTGTCGAGCAGCTGCTCTTCAAAGCACTGTGGAACAGAAAGGCATCGGGTGTGCGTGTGTGTGCGTGTGTGCGTGTGTGTGTGTGTGTGTGTGTGTGTGGACGTGTGAGAAGGATAGACAGACAGACAGACAGACAGAGAGAGAGAGAGAGAGAGAGAGAGAAAATACATGGCAGAGCTGTCCGTGTCATTTTTATAGCTCAGTGAGAGGGAGTGGAAACAGATCTGTCTACCACTTTCCTGTGTTATGCCCCCTGCTGGAGTGGCATCACGTCAAATGCGTATCCTAGTATATGTTTTGTAAAGACATGGAATGCTGTTCTAGTGTAGCTACAGCAAAACGTTTTCCAAAATAGATTTGAAAAATGATGTTATTACACTACAGAGAATGCTAGACATGTAGCAATCTCTTAAACTACATTAACCACTAGCAAGGTACAGTAGCATTGTTAAATTTCGAATCAAGTTAAACTATTTTAAACTATTTTAGTGATGGAATTCTACATTGTTTCATTTTCTTAAAGCTGCGTATTGTAGTTTTTAAAAGTGTTTCTGGATCTGTAATAATAATACAGTTTTAAAGATACCTAACAAAAAACTGTGATTTGCAATATTGATATGAAATGAGCTGCTCTAATTTCTTTATTTTAGATTCATTTTTATATATTTGAAGCCCAGAAATAAGCTCAACCCCCACAGTACAGAGCTGCTCAGTTGTCCTCCTTTTCCTTAAAAGGCAACGCATGAGTTGTAGTTATATTATAGAGTTATAGAGGTTGGGGTTGGTCAGGTGGAAAACCACTAAAACTGATCAAACTGCTCCTTTAATGTACTGTGTGTGTGTGTGTGTGTATATATATATATATATATATATATATATATATATATATATATATATATATAAATGCTTATGCATCCATTTTGCATGTATATATCCCTATGTTATATATTTCTTGCCAGTTTGCTGAAAGCACATTTGACTCAATGTTGCTGGCTGCTAACGAGTTCTGACAATGACCTGAGGAAAATATCGTTTTCTCTGCACTTTGTGTATTCCTATTTTGACATTATCCCAGATTCTGTAAGATAAATATAAATGAATGAGCACCAGAACCAGATTCATCTCCCAGTTTACATCTGCAAACTTTGCTATTTCTAGTAGTGTCATCATATCAGAGGGCCCTGAGCAGATGCCATGGCAGTACTGATCAAATGTTATGAAACTGGTAAAGACAAGAGAAACAGAGCTGGTGTCTCACTGTTAGGGAAAAGTCAGCTTTACAGCTGCATAGTCTAAAGCTCTGTAGTAGTGATGCAGAGTCAGTCTTTAAGTACAACCTATCAAATGTTTAACTAGCTTTGTAAAAAATAAATAAAATAAATAAAAACCCACAAAATCTGATCTTGTATTAATATGCTGGTGACATGCTGCATGCTTGCAGTGGTGTAGTCAGGAATTAATAAAATCATGATGCGAGTAGATGTGATCTGTACAATTAAAGTGATAAGAGCAAGATTCTCAGGTTGGATTTGGTTTAATTATTTATGGCAGTCTACCACATGTGCAATATTAATAATGTTAATAAGCATAGGAAATAAAATACCTTTATGACATTTCCACTGAAAATTATTAAAATAACATGTTAGTAATGGGGAAATAACATCTTGCCTTATAGAGCTAGAATTACACTTATTTTTCTTCTTTTGCAGTAGACTTCCAGTACTTCATCAGCTGTCACCTCAATATCCCTGAGCTCAGAGAGTAGCTGGCTGGCTAGTGGCTTCTGAAAAAGAAGCAGGACATGTATGATCCTGATCAGTTCATCCTGTTTCTCACCATAGTAGCAATAAAATGTGATTAAAGCAACTAATGGAGATGTTTGTTCGATATCTAGGGTTGTTAAATATGACTTCATTTACCTTTTATGAACATCGGTATTTTGTATTCCGTAACAAAGCATTATTTAACGTATATATAATCATTTGCACTGTATGTCATGAAATATTTTCCCATATTTCCCCATATCTACCGCTCTCTACATCTCTGGGTACGTGAGTTTACCCCCAAAAGTGTTTGTGTAAAGGTATCACATGCTGCTCAACAACAAAACATATTATACATTAGTGCTGAAAGAACTATGAAAAATGGCTGGGAAAATATTGGAGGAAACACAAGACTTCTCTTTCAGTTCTGCGGCTCAACCCATGTATCATGAGGAATATAACCAGGTTATTGGCAAAAAATTAGACAAAGCAGAATTTTAACCGTCTCCTGTGAATGCAGTTCCGACTGAGGGGGGCAGTTGTTCGGATCTGTGCTGTCATGATGACCTTCCGTGTATTTGTGTTTGCTCTGCAGTCCAGTTCGAGGGGGTGGAGAAAGGCAGGATGTCTCCAACGAAAGACGGGAAGTCGAGGCCACCCCAACGCCACTCCAGCGGCTGCCTGGTCAACATGAAGATGAGCTCGGTGGAGCAGTGTATGCCGACACTGGGCGAGCGCATCGACCCCACAATGCCACTGGAGAGCCAGTTGTGAGTGTGTGAGAGATAAAGGCAAAATTCATGCACTGTTCTGAGAAAGTTTTCATAACAATAAACTGCCAGAAGAAAGCACATTTCCATTGAGAATCTGAAATATTTAGGACTAAAGGTGAATGAGAACTGCAGCAGAAGTGATGCAAAATATATAGGACTATTTTAGGAGTTATGGGCAAATCAACTTTCTAACCTGTTTACACATCAGATTAAAAAATATACATTATAATAATACATTTATACATGTATTACTTTGTCAATACAATACATGTATTACTTTGTCACACCACTATCCACAGAAAATCTTTTCGGAACCATTTTTGACCACCATTCCTTTGACCAGTGTTTGTTGTTTTTTTTATGAATCTTTATTCTGCTTGCGCCAGTAAAGGGCGTGAAGAGGATAGGTGGTGGTGTGGTTACTCTGTGAAAGTCCCC